AACTTAACCCTTTTGGATCTGACAGTTGGGAAGAAACCCGGGTCTAAAGGGAAGAATATCACGTGTCCATTTTACTGATGCTCTTAGGGCAAAAGAGTTTCTGACTGCTCTGACTAGAAGTACTTTTGAGCTCAAGCACAGCAAGATAAAACGCAGAGAAGAACTGGTAAATAACAGCCGCGTCTTTAGTTTTGTTTCCTGCTCCCGAACAAGCGTTACTTAACGGTTGGTGGACCCGAGAGCCTGGCAGCAGCTCTGCACTGAGGTTGTTTCTGCCACTAACTTCTTGTTTGGCCATGAGCAGGGCCTCTAGCCATCAGATGTCTCTTTTCTGGTCAGTGGAATGTCCGTTCCTCTCTCGGAGAACATTAGATCAGGCAGCATGAATTGCATTTTCTAGCAAAAGCTTAGTTGAGTTTATACAATGTGACTGGGGAGAAAAAGAAGGGGAAATCCTGACCTACATTTGAAGGGGTTTATGCTTTTCTCTGTTTTCTATTGCAGACTTCCAGAATTTACTGAAAGTGAAAAGCAAAGAATTAAAGGCACATATGACTACTTTGGTCTAAATCATTATACTACAGTTTTAACATACAACGTAAACTATCCTGCTGGTGTTCTGTCCTATGACTCTGATAGGTAAGAGATGAACATAAATTACAGGTCAAGTAAAATATGTGCACCTGGAGCCTGGGCCAACTGAGCAATGTAAACTGATAGCAAATAAAGCCATGAGACAATTATTTTAAGTTGTTATAATCAATAATAGCGAAAATATCCCCAAGCAGTCTCTGTGATGATACTGTTACTCTCACAGAAGCCCAGCAACGGCCCTTTTTTTACAGACCTGATGATAAACATGAATGTTTAAAACAAAACAAAGAAAATCAGGGGATCTACTAAAGGAAAGAATCTGCACTTGTGAGTCTCCCAGCGGTTTGGGATCGGCTATAAGCAGTATTTATTGTATTTCCTGCCCCCAATCTGCAGATTGAACTGCTAGATTATCCTGGTTTATGGACACCGCTCCATCTTCTGTTAAAGACTTGTTAGTTCCCTCACCACATCAGGCAAATATAAGTTCAAAGCCTAAATAGCTAAATCACTTCATGGTTAAGTATACATAAGTCAAGATTTTTATTTAGATACCAATTTCTTTCCCCAGCTTCAAAAGGTGAACAGTAGGAGCTGACTAGTTTTTCTGATGAGAATTAAGGTAATGGTGGGACCACACACAGGGGTGAACATCGGCTGTTTTCTGAAATGTTTCCACAGAGAATATATAAAATTATTAAAATGTCTCTTTGCTGCTGCATCCCAGTCCCTGTGGTTTAGCCCCGTAGGACACTGGGCTCAGCCCCGGAGCAGGTGTAAACACCAAATCTGTGTGCTCAAGCACTGCATTATACGTTGAACAGTACAAAGGGTGTCAAAGGACAAAGACGAGGAGTTAACATCATCACATCCTCAGCCACAGGTCTTTTATGCAGAATATGATTGTAAAGCAAAGTATGAGAAGTGTTTTCTAGAGACTGGTGAGCACCAGAGCCACTTCATCCTGCTGTGCTTTTACCAGCTTGCCACGTCACTTCTGGTTCAGTTTCCTGCAGAGTTTGGCGCTGTATTTCTCAGCCCTGCGGCAGCGGGGTGCCAGGCGCAGCGGCAGGCACTTGGGACTGGTCCCTTCATCACTGTGTCCTCCTCCACAGGGGTGCAGCTTCAGTAACCGACCGCAGCTGGCTCAACTCTGGTTCCTTCTGGCTAAAGGTGACACCCTTTGGTTTCCGAAAACTCCTGAGATGGATAAAGGAGGAGTACAACGACCCTCCCATCTACGTGACTGAAAACGGGGTCTCAGAAAGGGGAGCCTTAGACCTCAATGACACTTGGCGAACACATTACTATCGGAGCTACATTAACGAAGCACTGAAAGGTAGGAATGATTATTTAAATCTGATTCTCCAAACCTCTAGAGAGCAGCAGTGTCTCCCCACAAGACTGATGTGTATAAAGCAAGTTGTGAAGAGCTGAAAGACCACTGCCCTCACGCTCCCAAGTTACCCACTCACATGGGTTTACCCCGTGTCCATTTCTGAGCGCCTCTGGGGTTCTCAGAAACTGCCCGTGGACAGCCACGGCTTTGCCAGGGAAAGGTGGTCTGAAGAAAGAGCAACCACCAGGGTCAGCAGGGTAACTGCAGCCTCCTTGTGTAGCTGCATCTGGCAAGAGAAGGTACTTGATGAATACCTATTTTGACTTCTAGTTTGACTCCTGCTGTGTCTGAAATCTGCATCTTCTTAAAAAAACAGGGAAAAACCAACCCCCAAACTGGTTTTAATTACAGTAATGGCCAGGCAACGTCGGGGAAGGGCTTTTTCAGTTTGCTTCTCTAACGTACTGGGAGCTGCTGGCCAGATGTTCAGAAAGTGCTTGTTTACTGCCTTTTAGCAACAAGGCCCCATAAACACTTGTTTAGGCAACATCTGGATGTTGATGGCTTTTCTTCTCTGTTCCTAAACCTTTGTTTATCAAAAGCTTTGATTTTTGAGGCAGAGAAAAGTGGTTTCCAGTACCAGCAGGCTGACTGAGCTACCCTAGTCGCTTGTTAGCTGTAACTTGGCCGCTGAACTACATCAAAACAACTGAGCTAAGGCAACACAAGAGAGGTGGGAGTGGGGACATGGTGAAACCAATCGGGCCGAAGCAGCAATAACCTCATGGCACTCAGCTGCTCTGTAACATCCTGGAGCATCTTCGTGCCACTGCTGGCCTGGTGGTGATGCCTCCTGTCACCTGGCTGCAAACTAACCTGTTCTCTCTGGTCCTGGTAACAGCCGTTGTGCTCGATGGTGTCGACCTGCGAGGCTACACCGCGTGGACACTGATGGACAACTTTGAGTGGGCAGTGGGCTATGATGAAAGGTTTGGGTTATATCACGTGAATTTCACAGACCCCAATTTGCCGCGGCACCCCAAGGCCTCTGCCAGGTTTTACTCGCAGATCATAAACTGCAATGGGTTTCCAGACCCAGCGACAGGCCCACATCCCTGTCTGGACCTGGACCCTGAAGGTAAGCGATGCAGCAGAAATTGTGCTTGTGTGTGTGCACATCTGATTTTAATCCCAAAATATTTCCATAATCTGTAGTCTTTAAAGACACCACCATCTTCTGCAATATTCTTTTTAAGGGCTCCAGTAGAGCACTGACTAACCATCAGTCTTTGTTAAGACTGAAGACACTCATGTGGAACAGTCTTCTGCATGCAAAGCCAGAACTATGACTGAATTTTGCACGATGGCACCGCGATACATGCCTGTTTCCAAAATGCAGCAAATAATCAGAAAAAAGTAGAATGGAATAACTTAACAGAACTGCCTAAGATGTCTTCCAAACTATACACATTCAGGATTCCCACATCATTTTTTCTAAACAATTTCTAATACTTTACATGAATCTGTGTTTTGGATAAGCCTTTGGAAATACTGATTCTTTTGTCATTTACTTTCTCTGAGCTAGAGGAGGACTTTGAACAGCACCTACTATTAGTGTTGTGGTTTTAAATAATTGTTTTTATCAGCTTTTTGGTATGTCCACAGCTGCCTGAGAATGCTTGCCGCTCCTGGAGTCTCGGGAGTTACACTATAAGCCTCAGTTGTGCCTTTATTCTGAGCTAGAATTGTGTCAGTCACCGATCCTTAAGAATTACAGCTACTGCCAGAGTACTGAATCGCCACGTGTAAAGCCTTGTACAAGGCAGGAAGCAGTGGTGTACACACACATGTGACAGAGCTGCCCCCAAGCTGTTTACTAATACTTTCTTTTTGTTTTCCCATGGACAGTGACACCAACAGATACCACACCAGAACCAGCTGACAGCGTGCACTTTCTGGGATTAGATTTAACATCACATAGTGCAGAAATTGCACTGTATGTGCTTTTTGCTCTTTCTGCAGTTGGAGCACTGGGCTTGGCTCTTCTTGCATTTAAATATGGAAAGGTATCCAAGAGATCCCATAAGCGGTCACCCATGGAACTTCATAAACTGTAAAGCCTCCATTTGCTAAAGTGTTTGTTTATTTTGCTTTTTATAAAAAAAAAAAAGCCTGTAGCACTAGGAAAAGAAACCTGCTCAAACTACTGCAACTGTGACTCTTCATCATTTTGTTGTTTGCTTACCAACTTTAAAATACAAAAGAAATTTTTTTCCTATGGCAACTGTCTCTTTTCTCCCCAGGCATTATTAATTTGATTTCTTAAAAGACAAAAATTAAATTGCTTGTTCCTATCTGCGTAAGGATTCTGAACTTGAACTTTCATCTGTTCTCACCTCATCATCTCCCCTTGGATGATGCAGGTCTCTTCAAGGGACCCGAGAGCAGCCCCTAGCAGCTCTACTGCTTTTGAGTGCTTTTAAGACAAGTTAGTGTCTATACTGGTGAGAACTAGGCTAGGAGAATGTACTGAATGTTCTATTACAGCTACTGCACAGATTTCCTTTATTTCATCTACAGTTTTTTTTAATTATGTACCATAAATTATTAAAAAAATAAAATGGAAGTAGCCCTAGTACTATGCCTTCCCCTTTGAACAGAGTGTGATATGTAATTATCTCCTTTAACCAGGAATCCAAAGCAGGACAGAACACCTGTAATATTGAGGTCTCTAACAATGAGATGCCCAGTATGGGGAGTGGGGGAGGGAAGGTAGGTATCCCTCCATGACCCCACCTCCAAAAAAAGCTTCCGGGCTCATGTTGCAGCCTGCTGCTAACAACATTTCCGTTTTATGAGGTAAAGACCCATTTTTTTTTTCTTCCTGTGCCATCACCTGGACCTAAAACACTATTTCAGAGTTTAACATGAACAACTCCTGAGTAATGTCATTTAACCCGCAACAAAAAGTTTGTCCGCTATATTTTAAATTTCAGTGTATGATCCTAACTGCTCACTTCCTTGTGACACAAAGACTTCAGAGGAACTTTAAGATAGCTATGTTTTCTGGAAAATAGTTTATTGAGTGCTTGGGGAATTAAAAACTACAAGATTTTGCTTGCAGTTGCAGAAGCAAGAAAAAAGTTAAACATAAATTAGTTACCTGATTTGCTACTATAGTGCTTCTGAAACCCTCATTTTAATCAGTCATTGCCTACCATGACCTTTCTATTAATACATGGCCCTTAAATTTATGTAGCAGAATATTTATAGATTAAAAAGTGCCTTTCTCTGGGAGTAGGGTAATGATTATGAAAGGTGATGGAGATTTTCAGTCTTTTTAACTCTTTGCTTCTAGGTCTCAGCTATGCCCACTTGATTTTTCTGACTTCGGTGACTTTATTCCATATTCCACTGCAGGAAAAGAATGAAGTAATTCAGTCAGTGTAAAATAAGCCCCACTTGTCCAGAAGCTTTAGTTGACTTAGATCAAATAAGAAAAAAAAAAAGCCAGACAGCGATTACTGCAGTTAGTCAAAGCTACATTTGTTGTGTAGAATTTCCATTCCAAGTGTTGTTTTCATCTTCTCCATCGTCTTGAGTCCTCAGTCTATATATTTTGCCTTCTTTTTTGAAGTCTTCTCCCCGCTTTTCCACTACTCGTTTCCTGACCGCTTGCCTAGGGTACAAATGACAGTGAGGTTTGACAGTTTCCCCAGTAACAATTACACAAGAGAAGCAAATGCAGTAAATGCAAATCATACATCCTTCCTTCTCTTATCCCCAATAATAGTTTTCTTCAGCCTTTTGTTTCCTTGGGAAGCAATACCCAGCTGAAAATTTGTCATTTGGCAGTTAGACAAACTGACAAAATCTCATTTCCCCTGGAAAGCCCCTGTCATTGAAGCGATATGTGGCTGCTTCACGCGAAACAGCCCAGCGGCTCTCCAGGTACAGCAGATCTCTCATTCTCTAGGCAACACAAAACCTTAACTGTCAAAATCAGACTTCAGTTGCTTGAGTTTCTTGCAGAACCATACCATAACAATCTAACATCCAATTTGCACAATGATTATCTTCCAAACAGTATCAGCTCAAGTGAAGCCCACATTTGTAGTTACAGCTGAACTCCCTATTCATAAATGACTGCAAGACAATGCTTTTTCTACTAATTGCAAGTTGAAGCAAACAACATGGATCTTGCATAATCATATATGTAAAAACTAAGAAATCCTAGTCAGAACCACGATGCAGTTTACCAGCCACCAGGTTATCCCTTTTAACCTGATGGAAGGGGTGATGGCCACAAACTGCAAAGAGAAGATGGCAGTTAAGACAGATACAGCTCAGTTCCCCACTACATGCTGTAAATGATTCCACAAGCAGTTTGAGAAATAGCTGCCTTGAACAGTTTTGATTACCTGCTTTGCTCAGCGCTGCTAGATGCTGAAGGATTTGAATGGTCTTGCTGATGAGCTGATCTCACAGTAGACTGTGAGGGGGGTGGACTCGTGAACAGGAAATTGCTAATAAATCTCCAAACTGCTAAGAGGGGATAAAGTATTGTGCCCAAGAACTTCCACAGATCACTGCCTGAAGCCTGAACAACAGAAGTAGCAGGTCTTCCCGCCTGGACAAGAACACATAAAGCAAACCAGTCAGATATTAAAGTTGTGCTCTTGTAGACAGAGTACTTCATCCATAATTTAGAAGCAGGCCTTGCCTTTGTTTTTCCCACGTGGGGTGCACAGATCTGGGTGGGTGTCTGGAGGGTCTGAAGGCCACATGAACATGTTCTTGGTTCTCAACTTTCCCCAGAAGTGCAGGCTGATGTGCAGAGCTAGGTGCTTTGCTGCCAAGGAATGAATGTTTCCAGCTACTGTGTTTCCAGCCAGCATATGTTTATTCTTGGCTTTATTCAGCTTTGTTAGGGTAATGATTATGAAAGGTGATGGAGATTTTCAGTCTTTTTAACTCTTTGCTTCTAGGTCTCAGCTATGCCCACTTGATTTTTCTGACTTCGGTGACTTTATTCCATATTCCACTGCAGGAAAAGAATGAAGTAATTCAGTCAGTGTAAAATAAGCCCCACTTGTCCAGAAGCTTTAGTTGACTTAGATCAAATAAGAAAAAAAAAAGCCAGACAGCGATTACTGCAGTTAGTCAAAGCTACATTTGTTGTGTAGAATTTCCATTCCAAGTGTTGTTTTCATCTTCTCCATCGTCTTGAGTCCTCAGTCTATATATTTTGCCTTCTTTTTTGAAGTCTTCTCCCCGCTTTTCCACTACTCGTTTCCTGACCGCTTGCCTAGGGTACAAATGACAGTGAGGTTTGACAGTTTCCCCAGTAACAATTACACAAGAGAAGCAAATGCAGTAAATGCAAATCATACATCCTTCCTTCTCTTATCCCCAATAATAGTTTTCTTCAGCCTTTTGTTTCCTTGGGAAGCAATACCCAGCTGAAAATTTGTCATTTGGCAGTTAGACAAACTGACAAAATCTCATTTCCCCTGGAAAGCCCCTGTCATTGAAGCGATATGTGGCTGCTTCACGCGAAACAGCCCAGCGGCTCTCCAGGTACAGCAGATCTCTCATTCTCTAGGCAACACAAAACCTTAACTGTCAAAATCAGACTTCAGTTGCTTGAGTTTCTTGCAGAACCATACCATAACAATCTAACATCCAATTTGCACAATGATTATCTTCCAAACAGTATCAGCTCAAGTGAAGCCCACATTTGTAGTTACAGCTGAACTCCCTATTCATAAATGACTGCAAGACAATGCTTTTTCTACTAATTGCAAGTTGAAGCAAACAACATGGATCTTGCATAATCATATATGTAAAAACTAAGAAATCCTAGTCAGAACCATGATGCAGTTTACCAGCCACCAGGTTATCCCTTTTAACCTGATGGAAGGGGTGATGGCCACAAACTGCAAAGAGAAGATGGCAGTTAAGACAGATACAGCTCAGTTCCCCACTACATGCTGTAAATGATTCCACAAGCAGTTTGAGAAATAGCTGCCTTGAACAGTTTTGATTACCTGCTTTGCTCAGCGCTGCTAGATGCTGAAGGATTTGAATGGTCTTGCTGATGAGCTGATCTCACAGTAGACTGTGAGGGGGGTGGACTCGTGAACAGGAAATTGCTAATAAATCTCCAAACTGCTAAGAGGGGATAAAGTATTGTGCCCAAGAACTTCCACAGATCACTGCCTGAAGCCTGAACAACAGAAGTAGCAGGTCTTCCCGCCTGGACAAGAACACATAAAGCAAACCAGTCAGATATTAAAGTTGTGCTCTTGTAGACAGAGTACTTCATCCATAATTTAGAAGCAGCTCAGTAGACACAAGTGAACTCCTTTGGTTACAGGTTAGACAAATATCTATGCCATCATTTATCTGCTTCAGAAAAAGTCCTCCTCCACATCAGTCCTGACAAAAATTAAAGTAATTTTGCCATCTGTCTTAGACACAGAAAAGACCAAAATTCAAGCCAAATATTATCATTGCTGACTAACAGCAGATACACAGCTACAGTACTGTTGTTTGCAAGGAAACAAAAAGGAAACAAACAGAAAATCAACACCTACCGGCAGCAACACTACTGATAAATATTATCATTGCTGACTAATAGCAGATACACAGCTACAGTACTGCTGTTTGCAAGGAAACAAGAAGGAAACAGAAAACCAACACCTACCGGCAGCAACACTACTGAAGCACTGGGTGCTAACTCTAGCTCCAGTAATTTCTTTCCATAATCATCTTTGGTAAACTCCCTTCTGGGAAACATTGTCGCCAGTGAAAAATTACCGTAAGCATTACCAACCGTCTGTGAAAACATAAAGAAAACATTTTATTTGTAACTGTACACTTTCAAACAACTGTAGATTTGCCAGTTGAGTGTACCTTGCTGTATTGACCCAAGACTTCTGTATCAAACTATGTCATCTTCATATAGAGAAATGAAGGATTTTTCATATCCTACTATTTCTAACTAATGATATGCTGCTGTAATAAAGGCAGTTGGTGTCACTGAAAAAGGCTGCTACCAAAAGCCCCTTCAAATAAAAAGGAAAGTAGTTGACAATTCCACCATGATCAACAACTAGTTGATACTACACCAAGTTGTAATCAGCACGTAGCTAAGAAAACAGAACACCAATTTACCTGTGCAGCAAACTGCCTTGCTTCTTCCAGTCGTGCTTCAGATGGGAACTGGTTAGTAAAGGAAGATCCATCTGGTAGGCGGAACTGAATCCTGGCTATTGCACTGCAGGACACAGATCGGGGTCAGTCAGCACATGAGCAGTTACAGACAAATGCTCCTGGGGCTTTAGCTTGGTAGTATTGAAACGTGGAAGAGAGGGACAGTCATCCTACTTCTGGCAGCGCAGATGGGTTATAAGCTTGGATCCACCATTGGTAGCCACCTGCTTATATCTCACAACACATCTCTGGTTTTTAATCACAGTCCAAGACCCATCATCATTCAAACAAGATATTTACATTAATCATGCAAAAAAAGAATAGATGAATGAAAGCTATACCGTATTTTTTTTGTGTAGCCTGTATTACTTTTGTTCTTTTTTCAATAAGTTGTATTATGAGAGCACAGACATATAAGCTGGCTTGGCAAGTACTTCAATATTCAGCTAGCTTCGGCCCAGTATTACTGTTCACGCTTCAACACCAACACAGGCTGCAACGCCTGTACCTGCCCTCTGTCAGGGGCAGTACTAGACTCACAGTGGCTCTGTAACTCCAGCTAAGGTCTCTATGGGTTACAGTATGTCTTAGAACAGCAGTGTTGGGCCAAGCAGGAGACAGCTCTGACGTGGACAACTGATGAGCCCAATCAAGCCTTGCTGAATCCAAGCCCATTGGACACACAACCAAACAGCTGGCTAGGCTGGCCTCATGCTCCCTAGTGCAGTTCCGACATTATCCAGTCATTCTTTCTAGTCATTATCTATCACATCCTCACCTTATCTAGTTCCCCACCTAGCCCCGTTATACCTAGTATTTAAATCAAAGACCAGACAGGAAAAGCTTTTATCTAACTAAAATAACACAAAAGGAAAGGTGGTTAGTGTTTCATAATCAGGCACATCAAAAGGATGAAATTTATCAGAGAACATAATATTCATGTAAATAGCTACAAATAAATGATATAAAAGAAAGCCAACTTTTTATGCCACTATTTTAACAGTTCAACACAGCATCAATTAATAGATTATGATGTATATTAAATCTCTTAAAAGTTTATGTGAAGTTTCTTTACCTCTCTCCAGAAAAAAATACATTTCTTTCTCTACAGCAACTCACCTTCGCTCCTTTTGAGATGCTTCTTTTCTGGCCTCTATTTCAGCCTGTTTAGCCTGAAGAGCTGCAGCTTTTGCAGCTTCTGCTTCTTCCTTTGATTTTGCAAAGCGAGCTGCTCTCTCAGCACGATCCTGTGAAAGAACCAAACAAACCTTAATTTTTACCATAAATTGTAGCTTATTATTCATTACAACAGAGAGCTATGGTCTGCACTCAGTACCCAACTAGGAGAAAAGACAGTAGTGCTGCAAAGAATTATTCACTGCCAAACTGCATAAGCTCACGTCATTAGCCAAGATGACACACTTTTCAATGAGTCACTTCATGCAAATAGTTGTTAATAGATGATCTTCCCGTGCAAGTTTAACACTCCGGTGAAGATAAAGTAAGAAGTCTTATGACAAGTTACACGATTACAGTTCTAAGTGTTCTAGGCCAAAACCTAATAATGAGGACGGATTTCAATTGTTATGAATTGTTTATATGCATTTATGTACAAACTTAGAAAATAATCCTCACCACCATTTTGAGATCAGTGTTCTTCTGCATGTTCCACAATTAAATATCCCCTTGCTTCCATTTCAGAACTGTGGTTAAATTGCAATTATTTTTATGTTTAAATGATAATTCTCCACTGGACTCAAGCAGTATGGCAGAAAAGTTGGTATGTTCATTCAGATAGAAAAGGTCATCATGAATATGAAAGTAGAAGCTTCATTTTATACGTGGTAAATGCTACATAAAGCCCAAACACAAATTGTTACAATATGAGGCCACAGGATTCCAAACGGAAAAATGGACAATCTTTCAAGGTTTCACCAAATGAGAAACTTTATCCTTTTAGTACACCAGTGGCCCTTGTGAGAGAGAGAAGCAGCACACTATCTTCCAAAATGAAAAATTTACCATTGCAATCTGTTGTCTTATACGCTCTCTAGCAGCCTTCTCTTCTGCCTTTTCTCTGTTCCTTTCCTCTAACATTCGTTTTGTCAATTCTTCCTCCTGACGTCTTTTGTACTCCAACATTTCTTTACCAGTTTTTCTCCGCTCAATTTCTTTCTTAATTTCTTTCTGAATAAACAACAGAGACATAAAAATTGGACCACAAAATTGCCTTGGACAAGAGTAAGACAAGATTGAGGTACATTTGTTTGAAAAGGAATTAAGCATTTATACAAATAAGGGTATAAAAAAAATTGCAAGCAGTTTTACTTTGTGTTACCTGTTCTTCTTCTTTCCTTTTCTCTTCTCGTCTTTCTTCAAGCTTTTTTGTTATTCTAAATTCAAAAATAAATTGAGAAGTCTTTAAATTGCTTTGTGAAAATTTTGAAATGTTAAAAACAGATACTGTATTTTTAAACAAAGAAGAACAGAACACATGAAAATGAACATGAACTGTAACACAGTGTTAGTATCTAGTGTAACAGTAATGATTCACTCACATGCGGGTGTACCATCCATAAAAAGATGAAGTGGTGATTCACCACCTAGTTTCCAACTTTTAACAGAGTTCTGACATATTCCTTCTGTCCTTTTCCACTGAGTAAATGAAGAATCTTACATATTCTGACCGTTATTACCCCAGTTTCAAGTGTTTTCAGTTCAATGTTTTAACTCCTTCAATATCTTTGCAGCAAACATATTGTCAGTATTTAAGTTTCATGAAAGTAAGGAGAACATTTTTAGTTTTCCAGATTACCCTTTTCTTTCAGAGTACATGAAAAATTAGATTAATTTAAAAGCTGATTTTGTATCAATCCTAGTATTGTCACAGACATCTAAACAAAAATAAGACCACCTAAATGTTTGCCAGATGGTAACAGAAAAAGCATCAAAATTCTGTTTTTTCAAAAAACCCCACCCCAAAGCCAACAAAACTGCCTCACAACTGAGAAACAAATACAACACATTAGGAAGTCTGCAAAAGACAACTTACCTTTCTACTTTGAGTGTAAGATCATTCACAGGCTGAGCATCACTCACTTGCTCATCTGAAGAATTAGTTGCTTCCTGGCTTGCTTGACCTGCTCCATCTTCAAGGGATTTAACAAGAAAGTAATGCATAAGAAAGAGAATACTTCTTACCATAAAAAATGGCTATCGATCAGCATAACAATGATTTCAAGCAACTACGATAAGTCAAAGAGATATGAGGTTCTGCTATTTAGACACCTCTCAAGCAATTTGGTTTTAGGTTATAACCCGAAGAAACTTTTAAAATTGTATCCTATTTCAAGAAAGCATACACAATTTTTATTGTATCATAAACCATAGGTTCTCATTCATTAAAACTGAGCAGAATGACAGGTTATTCTTCTCTCTAGACCTAGAAGAAGCATTCTGACATACCCAAATTTTTGTTCAAGTCCGCTCAATACATTGCCTTTTAGGTATCATCATATGACATTTTACAAAAAGGAAAACTATTTCAAAAGCAAATTAGCTAGCGTTTGTCTAAAAATACTAACCATTACCAGCAGAAGTTCTTATTGTCTCAGACATAACAGACTCAGGAGAGTCACAAAACTCCGCTGCTCTGGGTTGTGTATTTTCTGGAGCACCATCAGATTGAGAGGAGGGACAAGGAGTAGATGACTGAGTTCCATTTTCCAAAGGCTGCCCTTTTACCGTGTGCATCTAAGAAATTGAGGGAAAAAAACCCAACCAAACGAGACTATGAAACTTTGAATATTTTCCACAGCTTCACAGGTCAAGGCTAAACTATTTTTGGAAAATCACTCCTATTTAAAATGTAAAACTAAAATTATCACCCATTGTTGAGTGCAATGCAATCCCACATTTCATATTTTTTCGTCATTTTAGTCTTACCTTTGAAATCAAAGTACTAAAACTACCTACAGTTATATTATGTTCCATAGCATAATTTTATAAATCCATATTACAAAACAGTATTACAAAGCCACATATGAACTGAAAGAGTAATTGGTATGTCATTCCAGGTTAGAGTTCTTGTCATATTTTTTCAATACTGTAGGTGTTACACAGATGATCTAAACCAAGCTGTGAAACAAACAAAAAAAATAACATAGCACTTTTGCACAGTGCTTTCAAACCTGTTTAATTTGTGTACCAAATTTAAGTTTGCAGCTTTTGTTGTTGGAAGGATATAGAACCAGCAATTCATACATCCCCAAGGCACATGCTAAAGTCCAGGGACATCTCCTGTCTTAAGCATGCGCTGCCCAACTCAACCTGAAAGATGCAGCAAGCGTTACCTGTTTAACTTTATGGATTCTGTTAACAAGTTCTTCAACAGAAACGCTTCCAGCAATAACTTCCAAAGGGATTCCATTGTCTCCTATAAAAAAACTGGATGGAACGCACACTACAGGATCTGCACAGCAACAGTTAAGGGCAACAAAGGACAAAAGTTTATAAAGTAACTTGAAAAGGAAAAAGCAGAAGTCCTTCCTGCAGAAGCTTCTAGCCCAATACTCTATCTCCACCCGGTCACCAGTAGTCAGCGTCACAGGAGGAAAAAAGGAAAATGCTAACAAAAGTGCTGGAAAACATTACATTCAACTGATGAGTATTCTTTCTTTTCTTTGAAATGGTTTAAGCCAAAATAAGTTTCTCCAACACACATGTATCCGACAACCAATTATACTTTGACCTGAAAGATTTTTTTTCAGTGTGAGACAACATGTTATGCAGACAATAATGAATTCTTTATAGCACCGAGAAAATCCAAGGTACTGAATTCCTTCTCTCAGCATCACACAGATTTCCTGAGCTATATGCGACCTACTTAAGGTAGGCAGATGCTTACTTAACTTCATAGATGTGTACCTGATCGAATCCAGTCCACAACTTGTTCTCCCTCCTCTGTAACTCTGAACTCCAGCTAATAATTTAAAGCACAGTTTGTTTGTTTTCTAATACTAATTAGTAATACCAATGGGTTATTTTGTTTGCATAAAGCTTTGGATCATTTTCTATTTGGAGAATTACATAGATTAACATTTAAAAAACCCAACTTGTTCACTTTCTCTAAGAACTGACAGTAAGTTGAATACACAGATGGTACCTTTTATCTACACAGTTTATTGCTTATTTTTGTGCCAGAAGTATTTCTAGTAATCTTGCTTGTAAATATTTGTCTTAAGAACAGTATTTAACTTGTACAGAGAATTATCTGTATTCATAAAGTAGCATCTAAACTGATCTCAAAGGATACAAATTTGAGAAAACTGCAGGCATGCTTCACTGTTTAAAAGAAAAGATACATTTAGGAGGTGCAATCAGTTCGCAACAACTTCAGATTAATCTTTCATCATAAAAATAACTGTCCTACCACACACAAAACTATTTAAATACTTGAGAGAACACTAAAAGCAAATTTGCATTGCATCTTCTCATTAACATTTTGCATAAGTGTTGACATGGTGACAATCCCTGGTTATCACAGTTGACTACATAAGACTTAGGGAAACAGTGCTAAGAAGCAATTCAGGAAAAAGACATCTAATCTATTGAGTGCAAATAATACAGTAAGTCTAACACAATGTCTATAGACCATTTCAGAATCATACCAGTTTGGGAAATGTCAATGCACTTTCTGCACATGGACTGGAATACTTAAACATAACAAAAATAGCCGAGTAATTTACCAGAGAACTTCAATGCTTCTCTATTCTATGTGTTACAATAGACACAAACACATTTTCACTGAGGCTTTACAGATTCTTATCTTTCTGAATTCACGAGAGTTTTTAAATTCATTATGTAACTTGGCAAATCAAGAACTGCCTCCAGAGTACTTGCATTCTCGCTCCAGCTCTTTTACATAACTTTTCTGTCGCTTCCTGTTGAATAAGGACAGCCTCAAGCATTCTTTTACTGGTACTGAAAGACAGTCTGAAATATGCAACAAATTCTGCAGAACAGAAATTTTGAAGTTTGGAATTTTCTCAGGCTCTAGTGGCTTCAGGAGTACTGAATTCACTTATGCTCTGGAACCCTGTATTTAGACTACCTCCAAATCAGGGCGCAGACTTCAAAAGCCTCTCACTCCCATCACCATCAATGAAAGGCTGTAGAAGAGACAGAATTAGAATAGGATCAAACCTTTTGGTGTCGATTTTAATAGCAACAAAACCATCTGAGGCAGCTTCAGTCACCTTCTCATCTTCCCACCTTGCAGCCATCTCAGTAGATTGTTCATCCTCACCTGCAAGATACAGCACATGTGTGAAGCTAAACCCACCACAAATTACTGTCTCTGGTCTGATTTTAGATTTGCTTTAACTGCTTGAAATCACCCTTGAGATTATTTTCAAGTCAGTTTATAGGTGGGGTTTTTTTTTTTATATATACTCTGGAGACAATTCACTCCAGCTGATTTACCTCGCTAACACACCAGAAACCTAATATACCAAAAATCCTCCCAAGCCAGTGAGCATGTAGCTTTCGCAGTCATTCATCTGCATGGTGAGCTGGTCCAAGGGTGCAGAAGGGACTGGACCACACAGATGGAACAGAGACAGATGAACTGGAGGTGATGGCAAGTTCGAAGATTGGCTTGATTACATCGTCTAATTGCACAACTACTGACGGACCTTATTTTCATGTTAGAGCCTGTATGCTTATGCTTTAGTATTTTGCTTCAGTATACTCTCATAATACACAAGGAGATCCCACAGCACAGAAGGAACCATTCTTCCCCCTGACATTAAGCTTGACCCACTAACATGCTAAAACTATCCACTGCTTACCCCTCATTATAAACTTAATTACATATTGGTACACCAGCTGCTAATAGGTAAAACTGTATTTTCCACTCCCTGCAAATACCCAGCAGACAAGGTTTCAGTTTGATGGTGTTAAAAAAAAACCCAACAAACACCACAAACCAAGAATCATTTGTTTGCAGGATTATTTGTAATTTAGTTTTGTATTCTAGTTCCTGCCATGAACAGCAACAGGAGGAGGGGAGGAATAGGAGTGAGGAGCACAGAGGAACAAGAATAACAGTAAAAGAGAAGCTACTTAAGTGTGAAAAGGTGCTCTGGTGCCACAAATTCAGAAGTGTTATTTTAATCAGAGGAAACACATCAATCATACATTTATCTTCCAAAGCACCAGTTTAGTGAGAATGTGGGTTAATAAATAGATTCCAATGAGTATTAACCATCTTTCAACAAGTAAATTGGCCTGAAACCGTTTGTTTGTCTTCAATCTGTATTACTTCCTAGCAGCTTGGAATCAGCTGTACTCTTGATGAAGAATTTGAGTCACAAGTATAGAAGTATACTAGCCCATTATTCAATGACAACAACAAACCATTTGTTTCATCCCAGTTGCGATTTCATGCAGTATTTTTCACTTGTTAAAGATCAGGAGTTACACGTGGAGTCCCCTGGTGAAGCACTGCTGTCTTAAGGCCATGACTGTCTGGCCACAATTATTCTCAGACACACATATCAAAAATAAACTGACTTTGGAGAAGTGTTTTCCAACCATACGTATTGATTTTGCCTGGAAGTATTGGAGCAAGTAAGAAAGCATTTATCTCTGTTATTATTCTACATAAGCAAGTAAATGTTTAGGCTATTTTATGTAGGGACCTTTCTTCTTCCTTTAAGTGCAGTGCTTCCACCTGTGGTCAATGGATGCAGCTGCTCTGCCAAGGGCGGTTTGGCCTCCTCCCCCATTTCCAAACACTCAGAGACAGGCAGCTGCTTCACCACACACTTTTTCAGAAGGACATGTGCTCATCCGATTAGGCTACTAAAAATATCTAAATACTTGCCTAACACTAACTTTTCCATACAAACAACTGCTGTAGAAGAATGCTGAAAGACACAAACAGGTCAGAGACTGTTCACACTACAGTCTCGGAGATGGGACCCACGACTGCAAATGCTGATAACTCACATTTTATAAAGCTCTATGCCATGAAGCGCAGTTTAATATTGTGACTACCCACAGAATAGTTCCTTATTCTCATACATCTTTTTGTTTTGATAACCCTTTCTCATTTGGGGGTTAAGGTTCATTTATTACAGTTTTGTAGTAGTAATTAGATCCTGAAATGAAAACTGCTAGGTCACAGGAAAAGCATCAGAAAAGTCAAGAATTCAAGCTGAACAGAACTTGACATAATTCATAATTTTGCTAAACACTGAGCTATTGCAACAGCCTCAGAATTCCAGTCCCCAAGACTCTCAGATTTCTTGTTTCTCAAACAAAAGCCCCACTTTATTTCACTTCGCAGAAAGGCCTGTACACAATTCACAGTCAAACTTGCTCATCTCTTAAATTTGGTCAGGTAAATTTAGATATCTACATAGGGAAAATGTGCCCATCATTTCTCAGGTGATTCAGATAATTGGAAGACTCTTCTTCTGCAATGATTTATTTCCTCTACGAGGAACTTATTAAAAAATATCACAAGTTGTCAAAGGACATTAATTCCCCCATTCCTCAGCACATAGTCATAAGGAAAAAGTGTTTTCCTTTTAGAAGAAGAAAGATAAGCCCAGCTGACTTCTCGATGTCCAACATTTCCTAACTACTCAGAAAGAGTTGCCCATTCTGGAAATAACAGAAAGCCAGAACATTAAGCTGTTCACCTCCTCCTCCTTTGCATCATTTCACATATTTAACTTGAAAAGTGCTTTGATACAGCTTGGCTGCAAAATACTAACAAATAGCGTGTTGATTGCAAATCAGTGCTTTGTAAAAAAAATAATCTAAAAATAAAGTTATGAACAAAGGAAGGAGTGTTTCTACAAATGTTACTAAAAAGAAAAGCAAACATTTTAGCTTGAATTTTTTCTTTTCTCCTCCCTTCATTTTTTCACTTCTGAAAAGCACTTTTTATGACTGACCTGGTATTTTCAGGATCAGAACATGTCTAACTTTTGGAAAGAATAATGTTAAAACCCCCAATCAGAACAGAAGAGGTATCTGATATGAGTTGTTCATATCAAATGAACAATTAACTTTAAATTAATAACTCAATGAGATGAGTTTTTTAACTCCGCAAGCCAAAAAATCATCTACACAACAGCTACCAACCAGATACCAGAGACATTCACCAGACCTGTTTCAGTGTCAGAAGTACTTTTTCCCTGTGCAGCAGCAGAACCTACTAGCAATTATTTGATGCCACAAAGTAACTCGTCTCGTCCCCAAACACAACTTCCTTGCTTTGCATGGACCAAAGCCTCTAATCTAACATCTCACCTTAATCTTTAAAATCACTTTTGTAAGGCAGACATGCTTCACCTCACGCAGCCTGGAGAGCATGGAGCAACCTCTTCTATTGCAACATCCCATGAATTCAATACAAACTTTAATGCGCTTACACAACTGCATCACCAGAATATGCCATGAAGGTTTTAAAAACTGAACTAAAAAAATGTTAAGATTACAGCTGCAAACAAAAATGTTAAAGAAAAAAACCTGGTTGAACAACATGCAATTGCAGTCACAAACACCACCTCATTGTTAAGATAAATAGCCACATTATTCCTTGCTTGACTGGAAAACATTCTAGAATCAGAAAGACTAAGCCAGGTCTTCATTTTCTAGTGCTTGTTTAGAGAAGTGCAGTGAAGAGGAAGAGAGGGATAGAACAGATGGTACCAGAAACCAAACAGCAATGGACCTACCAGAATTCAGTAATTTTTATCATGGCTGTATCTAATAGCTATCCTCCGCAGTGGCCACCATAAAATTACAGTTAATCTATATTTTCCATTTCTCTCACTAATTTTTTTTCTTTATTAATTTTTTGTCCCCATATACATTATTGGACAAAGTGTGCAAATCAAAACAGAAACACTGAACACTTCTGAAAGCATGTGTTCCTGCTCGGAAAGCTGCTTTCAAATGCTCGTCTCCAGCATCTATGGGCAAGCGCATACAGCAAAGACCCAAAGCTATGGTCACCACAAGAGGTGCGGTTTTAAACATGGATCTACCTTAACAACAAACCCAGTCACTGCTAGCATAAAAACAGACTATTCTTCAGCACCTGGCATTCTTCAAACACACCTGCTTCCACACACAGTGAGAAAGTATGTTCTTGGGCTTCCCAGGTCCCTTTCCCAGCAGACATAACAGAACTGCTTCACTATCAGCTCCATCACAGGTCACCTGCCCTGATCCCACAGTTCCTCAAGTAGACCAGAACTCAGCAAAGCTCTCAAACTTTCTTTTTGGAGTTACGGCTGCCTAAAGTAACACTCTCCCTTCTTCAGGGCTTGTAACAACAAACAAAACAAATCCTTAGAGCATACAACATCAAAACTGGGTGACATTCCTGCAATCATAAATTTATCTCCACTATGTATATCTACATATTCCTACATCCACCTAGTCAACAATAACATCTAAAAAGCTAGTTTTGTGTACAAATTTTGTTTCATAGAAAATATTGGAAATGTTACAACACGCACTTCTCAACCCCCGAAACATATGTATCAAGTTCAAAATACTCATAGGCACTGAACTGCTATTAAAAAAAAATAAAAAATCTTTGTGGTGCGTAGACCCTGGCTGGATGCCAGGTGCCCACCAAAGCCACTTTATCACTCCCCATCCTCAAGTGGACAGGGGAAAGAAAACCTAACAAAAGGCTAGTGGGTCAAGATAAGGAGAGGGAGAGATCACTCACCAATTACCATCACAGGCAAAACAGATTCGACTTGGGGAAAATTAATTTAATTTATTGCCAATCAACAGTCAGAGTAATATAATGAGAAATAAAAAAAAATATCCTCGAACACCTTCCCCCTACCCTCCTTTCTTCCCAGGCTTAACTTTATTCCTGATTTCTCTACCTCTTCCCGCTGAGTGGCACTGGGGCATGGGGAATGGAGACTGCGGTCAGTTTATCACACATTGTCTCTGCTGCTCCTTCCGCCTCAGGGGAAGGACTCCTCACACTCTCCCCCTGCTCCAGCACGGGGTCCCACCCACTGGAAAGAGTACTCCACAAACTTCTCCAACCCGAGTCCTTCCCACAGGCTGCAGTTCTTCGTGAACTGCTCCAACCTGGGTCCCCTCCATGGGGTGCGGTCCTTCAGGAACAGACTGCTCCAGCATGGGTCCCGTGGGGTCATGAGTCCGGCCAGCAAATATGCTCCGGCCAAGCGGATCCATCTTGGAGCTGGTTGGCATTGGCTCTATCAGACAT